AAACCATTCATTCATTCATTCAATCCCAGCTTCCCTAAAATAGAATGGTATTCATTTTTTTTTAAAGATTTTATTTACTTGACAGACAGAGATCACAAGTAGGCAGAGAGGCAGGCAGAGAGAGAGAGAGAGAGGAGGAAGCGGGCTCCCTGCTGAGCAGAGAGCCCGATGCGGGGCTTGATCCCAAGATCTTGAGATCATGACCTGAGCCGAAAGCAGAGGCTTTAACCCACTGAGCCACCCAGGTGCCTCAATAGAATGGTATTCTTAGTAATAGGCTTAATCTTGCAATAAATAATGAATGGGTCCCTTCTAAAATATTCTTCTTTTGTTTACATTTCCTGAACTAGCATGGTATTTTACATAAAGTGGACATCAGTAAGTTCTTGAGGCAGAAAGGAAGGAGTGAAGGAAAGATAGCAAGAAAGAAAGGGGAAAATCTTCCTTGCATTTGCTAATGTAATCAAGTTAACTAGACATGCAATATTTTTTATGAAGAAAAATAAGATGTAAAGTGGGAAATAAAATATTATCTTACAGGGTCCCATGAATTTGAAAAAAGGACTGGGAATTTGGACTCTTGAGGGATTTTTTTTTTAATTTTATTTATTTATCTGACACACAGAGATCACAAGTAGGCAGAGAGGCAGGCTGAGACAGAGAGGGGAAGCAGGCTCCCTGCCGAGCAGAGAGCCCGATGCGGGGCTCAATCCCAGGACCCTAAGATCATGACCCGAGCCGAAGGCAGAGGCTTTAACCCACTGAGCCACCCAGGTGCCCCTCTTGAGGGAGTTTTTACTCTTTTTGGTTCTTAACCTGTGTTCTTTCCCATTCTCTGTTCCTTATCCAGGAATGATAAATGTGTGTATTTCACTTGGTGATGTTCATATCTGGAATCTGATCATGGATCTTTTGAAATGCAGGAACTCACCGCATTCATTTTTTAAAAAATACTTATTTGAGAGAAAGAGAGAGCATGAGCTGGGGTGGGGCAGAGGGAGAGAGAGGACCCCAAGCAGACTCCACGCTGAGCAGAGCATAAGAAGGAGCTTGATCCCAGGACCCTGAGATCATGACCCAAACTGAAACCGAGAGTTGGCCACTCAGCTGACTGAGCCACTCAGGCACCCCCGCATTCTTTAATATAGTGGTGTTTGGGGGCACCTGGGTAGATCAGTCGGTTGTGTCTGACTCTTGGTTTCAGCATGGGTCATGGGATCGAGCCCCGCCTCGGGCTCCACGCTCAGTGAGGAGTCTGTTTGTCCCTCTCCCTCTGCTCCATCCCCCCACTCATAGTCTCTCTCTCTCTCTCAAATAAATCAATCTTTTAAAAATAATATAGTGATGCTTGTAGTAGTTAGTCCTTGTGGAAAACATGGACGGTGAAACTACACCAAAAAAAAAAAAACAACAACAACAAACCCCATGAAAAGTTACACACATTTACATTTCTTCTATGAAACAAATCCAGATATAACCATCCCATCTAATTTTTTCTTAAGTGACTTGTTTTTCAGACATTTCTGTTTTTCTAGTTTCATCACAGTTTTTATTAAGGACTTGGAGAGTGGAATGACAGCTATATTTCCACTTACTTTACACCATTTTATTTCCAGTACATATCACCTCACAATGTGTTCCCTTGTGACACATTATGGGATCATTAAATTAAAAATGAAAGGTGTGGTTGATGACTGACTGCTCTCTAATTACCCAGAGTGTTTGTCAAAGGCAGTAGGCAGAAGGCATAAAACCCCACTTTGCTGTTATATTGACTGTCAAGTTTATAGCACATTTCTGCCAGCACAGAAAACTTCCCCAATAAGGATACCTACTGGAGTAGACCTTGGCAAGTGGAATCAGTGCCCTCAGCATTAGGATAAACAGTGAAGACAATGATCTAGTGATCAAATTGGTTCATCCCATGTTTTCAAAATAAGAAGCCTCTCTGGGATCAGTGTTTCTCCACCTGTTGTCTCCCCATTATTGGGACTTTTTAGACATCTTTTCCTAATATCTCATCCAGAAAATGTTGATACCATAGATACACTTTTTATCTGTTTATGTATTGTGGTCCTTTGGAGGAGTATAAGCCATTGTGACATCTAAACTTTTTTTCTCCCCAGTAAGAACAATTTCCACCATCTTGAGAATGCATGTCTTGGATTACACTTGCTAGTACACACTAAATTCTGATGATGTCTCACCGATTCTATATGCAAAGCTACCCTATTCCGGAGTACACAACTCAAGAAAACGTAAGCTACAAAATTGTTCTTTAGCAAATCATCTATTGTCAATAGAGAGAATAAATCTCCTTCCTCTCCTAAAAATGAGGAAGCACTACTAATATTAAAGAACACATGGTTCCCAAGTTAAAATGGTGTCCAAATAAAAAATCTCATACCCACAATTTCAAACTCTTCCATGTACAGGGAGAGGGACAGACTTTGCTCTCAGAAAGGATAAGACTATGAGCTTGCAACAGCTACCATCTCATTTACTTATTTATCAGCACACATTTATTGAGCTCTATAGACTTTCAGCTCTGTGAGGGCGGGGATTGTATCTGATTTTGCTCACCCTTGTAGAATAAAGGACAGAAAGAAGGGAGAGAGGAAGGAAGAAGACAAGGTACTATGCTTAGTGACTTGAACACTGCCTCCAAGAATATTCTATTTAGTGTGAAGATACAGATATGTAAAAACAAATGTAGTAAAATATTATAATTATCATTAAAAAGATACCTAGCTATGGTGAGGTTACAAAGTAGTGGTTAATTCTATCTTGTTATAGGTCGAGGGAAGTGAAGTAGGTTATGAGAATGTTCAGGAAGACAGTGTACTAGGAATCCTCTTGCCTCTATGGTCTCTTTCCTCCATAAAAACACATTTAAATATAACATAACTCTGGCACAGCAAGATGAGTATAATTATCTGGGCAATCTAAGAACACATAGCTGGGAGGTCCAGCAAAGACCTCCAGGAGGGGCAAGATGTGTAAGTGAGAGAAAAGCTAAGGACAAGCTCAAAAAGTGGCTGAGACAGAGAATAACATAGAGAGGACAGCTTGTTCAATGGCCTGCACGTGAGAGAAAGGTGGAGGTCAAACTACAGCAGGTCCTGCCTATGTTTTTAAAAGTCTGGCTTTATCCTAAAGATAATAAACCACCATTTAAAAGCATCTATGTGGGGCACCTGGGTGGCTCAGTGGGTTAAGCCTCTGCCTTCGGCTCAGGTCATGATCTCAGGGTCCTGGGATGGAGCCCCGCATTGGGTTCTCTGCTCTGCAGAGAGCCTGCTTCCCCCTCTCTCTCTGCCTGCCGCTCTGCCTACTTGTGAGCTCTCTCTTTCTCTCTCTCCGTCAAATAAATAAAATCTTTTAAAAAAATAAAAATAAAAGCATCTATGTTATGGGTGCCTGGGTGGCTCACTTGGTTAAGTGACTGCCTTCAGCTCAGGTCATGATCCCGGGGTCCTGGGATCGAGTTCCACATCAGGCTCCCCCTGCTCTGTGGGGAGGCTGCTTCTCCTTCTCCCTGCCACTCCTCCTGCTTGTGCTCTCTTTCTCAAATAAGTAAATAAATAAACTCTTAAAAAACAAAAAAGCATCTATGCTAGGAACCAACAGGAACAAGTTTATATTTTGGATATTTATTTAGGCTCCATTACAGCCAATGGACTGGAGAGGGTATGGTGGATATTCTGGGGGTCTGCCAGGTCCCCTCTTCAAGTTCCATGCACCCATCCCCAGCTTCTGGAAACACGGGCTTTTGAAGGCTCACAGCTGATTCCTTTGATGGGAGTTGCCCTCAGCAACAGGGGAACTACCTTTGCCAAAAGCAGGCACTCCCCAGAGAGCACCCCTGGCCCTGACCGGCTCATGTGGAGATATAAAGGCTCAGCCACCTTATCTCAGTCAGGGACAACCCAGCTCCTAAGCTTCTTGAAGGACTGGCTGAAGCCTCTGTTGTAATCATGTTGCTGGTCCCATCTCCCTCCGCCTAATCCTACTCTATTAGTTTCCTATAGCAGCATAACACCTTCCTGCAAATTCAGTGGCTTAAAAAACACACATTTATCATCTCACAGTGTCCATGGGTCAGGAGTCTGGGCGCATCTCAACTGCGTCCTCTCCTCAGGCTGCAAAGCGCTGACCAGACTGTATTCTCATCTGGAGACAGTCTGACTGGGGAAAAATCCACTTCCGAGCTCACTTTAGTTGTTGACAGAGTTCATTTCCCTGTGGTCGAAGGACTGAGGACCTCCACTTCTGGCTGGCTGTTGTTCAGAGGCTGTCTTCAGTGCTGAGAGGCCACCAACAATTCCTAGAGGCTGCTCACAGTCTCTTCCACGTAGGCTTTTCCGACATGGCCATTTACTTAATCAAGCCAGCAAGCAGAGTCTCTAGAACAAGTCTGCTGGCAAACAGACTCAGACGTAATACAACGTAATTGCAGGAGTAATATCTCTTCATCTTTGCTGTATTCCATGCAGAAGCAAGTCCCAGGTGCCATCCTCACTCCCGGAGAGGGGTTACGTAAAGGCGTGAACACTGGGAGATGGCAGACATCTTGGAATCTATTTGCCACACCCGCCTTCCTCACTTCTTACAAGTGTATCTCCTCAGAGCACGCCCCAGTGAACCTTCTGCCTGCAACTACCTATCTTGGGGTCTGTGTCTGGGGAGCAACACTGGGGCAGGAAAGAGAGTTAGTAACTGTTGCTGTAACATCAACTATGGGTGAAAGCAGTAGGAGACTGAGCAGCAAAGTTTCTTTTTATTCATAAATGTATAATTTATTATTACAGATTAGAATAGCCATGGCCTATCTGGAAATAAAATGAAGTCTACAAACTACAAGATGTCTTCAAGCGAGGATACACACAACAAAAATAATTCAATTCTAGGGTTGCAGAACAGATGACACAAAACTAATAAAAATTAGGCTTCCTAATTTCCACAGTATGAAAATAAATCTCAGACCACAATCAGTCACATAATTAAAAAGAGATGATTAGCACTTTATTAAATTCACAGAGGTTGTAGTTTTACAAATTGCAGAAATAGTCAACCAACAGGGCTGACTTATTAGAGAATGATAGAGAATAAGTAAGTATTGGTATGGTCATAGGATGAAATTCTACCTTGGATATAGTCACTCCCATTATCATTCATATCCCAATCATATTTTATTCTTGCTTAGTCAGTCATATACAGAGTGATATAAACAATATTCAAAAAGGATCCATCTTCAAAGATTTTTACACCATATTATGGGTATTCTCCACTGGAAAAATCTCTCTCCATAGGTCTTCAAATTGTGTGTGTGGGGGGAATATATATATATACACACACACACATATATATATACATCTGTATATATATGTAGTGGCCTGACCTTATTTCTAGAAATGTTCAACACTAATGCACCTTTAAACCAATAAGTAAAGGTACCACGTGACTATACTTATACATTGTGTTGTCAGAGAAATATTTTAGAATATTTTGAGTAGTCAACAGCTTAGGATTCCAGTGGTCTTCATGGGTATAAATGACGGCCTTTTACTTTCATGCACATGCAGAATTTCTTAGGAAAGAAGAATGGTGAAATAAAATAGATGATCTGTCCTTGATAATTTATAATGCTCAGCAGTGGCACAGAAACAAGAGTTGAGTTTCCTGAGGAAGCAAAACAGGAGCCCTTCAGAGAGGGGTGAGCCGCTCATCCTCTGTCATGAAGGCATCGTTAATGTGCCCTCCCTTTGTGTCCAAAGGATCGCAGGGGATGCCGTTCTCAATTGTGATCATGTTTTCACACTTGTCTTCAGTGTCATCCACTTCAGATGGTCCTTTGCTCTTCCTAAATGCACATAAAAAGAATGATTGGGGTCTAGAAGCAGAAAGCCTGGTCTTCTGCACAAACATGGAGAGCAAGAGAGGGAAGAGGAAACTTAGAATGATGAAATAATTGATGAGATTCCATATTTTCCAAATAAATTGCAAAGATGATAAAGACCTAATGGGTAAAAAGCTGCTGTAAGATAAGAAGTCTGCATGGATGATACATGTACATATTGATCCGGACAAGTGGTTTTATTTGGAATACTAAAATAAATATATATGAATATGTATATGAGTGAAATATATACATGTATATGAATGAAGTATTTGTATACACACACATACACACATACACATTCACTTACACATACTGCATGAAGGAAAGTGAAGAAAACGTATGGCAAAGTGGCAAGTCAAAGTATTTAGCCCTAGGAGAACAACTTAACTAAAACTGAATTTTTAAAAAGCATGAAATTTCTCTCACACAATTTGACAAATAGTCTGCAAATGTTGAGTGAAAATCAAATTGAAATGAGGTATCAGGAAGCAAACTCACATTCCTTTGTAGAAAAGAAGCAAGCATTATAAACTGCAGGTATCAGCTTGGCTCTACCTACTACAAAATAGTTGTCTTCATTTGTAAGTTGGGTTTTTGGAACTCAGAACACATTTTACTAATTACATTACACCTCATAGCTAAAACTGCAGGTCATTAAAAAAAATGAAAAACAAAAACAAAAAACCTCTATATGACAGTATAAATCTCTGACTTCCTCATTCTCAGATTCTTTGTAGACTCTGCTATCCTCACCCTTAATAAAAGGAGTATGAAACGCTGCAGCTTTGAATTCAAAGGGTCTTCCTGTCTTTTGTGAAAGACCAAGTCACTGAGTCAATTATGCTTAATAAGAGATTAAGGTTGTGGCATCATGGAGGCATGATTTTGGGCATAAGGCTCCCAGACTTGCTAGAGATTCTTTTGTCCCAGGAACCTGTGGAGACTTCAGAGAGGCAGACCTGAATGGATCCCACCGCTGGAATGGGGGGCACTGCTGTGGTGACCAGGATGGACTCCCACTACTATGGAAGTCCCTTAGAACCTTGGTGAGTCTCTGGTGAGTGAAGAGGTGGTAAAGAGGGGCGCCTGGGTGGCTCAGTGGGTTAAGCCGCTGCCTTCAGCTCAGGTCATGATCTCAGGGTCCTGGGATCGAGTCCCGCATCGGGCTCTCTGCTCGGCAGGGAGCCTGCTTCCGTCTCTCTCTCTCTCTGCCTGCCTCTCCATCTACTTGTGATCTCTCTCTGTCAAATAAATAAATAAAATCTTTAAAAAAAAAAAAAAAAGAGGTGGTAAAGATGCCCCAGAGATGACTGAGGTAGAGTTTCCTATTAGTCCTGCATGAAAGTCCATTTTAATGTGCTTTAAAGAATACGGTGGGAGGAAGGGAGAGGAAAGAAAGACCTCTTATTTACACAGGAATGACAGCTATTATAGACAAAGTAACAGAAACAGAAAATCACCACTATAATAATAATTGATTCTAATGAGGCTCATCAATGATACTCAACCATTGAATAAGAGGTGATTTGGGAACAGGGTATTCAACTGACATTCTATAACCATCAATCATATCACTTCCATTCATAGTACCTAACACTCATTGAATAACTATGTTTTGAGTGACTACTCTGTGTTCAAACAGACACAGTCCTTGTCCTAAAGTGAAGAGAAAGGACTTAACAACGGGGGAAAACTCCAAATTTCATTCATCCTCCCTCCCATTTTTTATGGATTATAAAAAATGATGATTCAGAAGGGATGAAGCCCTAGTAACAAATGCGTATTTGTAAATTATCATCAAAAAATGTCTAGTTCGGGGCGCCTGGGTGGCTCAGTGGGTTGAAGCCTCTGCCTTCGGCTCAGGTCATGATCCCAGGGTCCTGGGATCGAGCCCCGTGTGAGGCTCTCTGCTCAGCAGGGAGCCTGCTTCTCCCCCTCCCCTCTCTCTGCCTGCCTGTCTGCCTACTTGTGATCTCTGTCTGTCAAATAAATAAAAATAAAGAAAAATATTTTTTTTAATTTTATTTTTTAAAAACATATATTTTTATCCCCAGGGGTACAGGTCTGTGAATCGCCAGGTTTACACACTTCACAGCACTCACCATAGCACATACCCTCCCCAATGTCCATAATCCCACCCCCCCTCCCACCCCCCTCCCCCCATTAACCCTCAGTTTGATTTGTGAGATTAAGAGTCACTTGTGGTTTGTCTCCCTCCCAATCCCATCTTGTTTCATTTACTCTTCTAAGAAAAATATTTTTTAAAAAATGTCTAGTTCGTGCAATTTCCCCCACACTCACTCCTCACTGGGCTTGGAGGGAATAAGAATTCTCCATAACAATAAACAGATTTTAAACAGTCAACTCTTACTCTAAAATTTGTGTATGTAAGTATGAAATTCACATCACAAAAATCTTAGCGGATGGAGCATTCTAAAGGAGGTGGCAATGCAATGGGAGTCTTTGAAATAGACATGGCCAGGGTCTATTTGTCAGTTCCCTCAGTTAAGAAAGTGCTTTTATCGAGTTAGATGAAAAATCACAGGGAGCTGGACACTTGCAGATCACCACAAGGAATCTCGCCTTCCACTCCCAGCCATAAAGGAGTACTAATCCATTAGGCCTCACAAAGGAATGGGGAAGAACTAAAAAGAAAGATGTAAACAGACAAGGACAAGTCCATCTTCTTGAGAAGAAGGATTTCTCAACCAAAAAGATTCTGGGCAAAACGGCTGTGGAAATGTATCTAATGGAGCTGTGCCGGTGGCGAATGCGGTATACATTGTGCTTCTGTGACCTTGGATCCAGTCGTTCAGAGTCTTGGCCTTGCCCGGCTTCACAAACTGCAATGTCAGGACGGCGCTGGCTGGACACGATAAGGAGCTCGCCAGTTATCTAACAGTAATGCAGGGCTTTGTCACGTTTCATAGTACATACGGTAATAAACGGGTTCACTGCCTCTGCATTGCTCTTACTAACAATAATAAAACTTAACTGTGTTTCTGGATCATTCTGATTTGATGTTCCGCTAAAAACATGAATTCCTTTTCCTGAAAAATAAAATTGAGTGCTGACTTCCACTGTTCTTGCAGTGTACGGCAGTTCAGGAAGAAGATTGTCTTAAAAAAGTAAAATACCTGAAACTAGTTCTTAAAAACCTTGAGGGTAGATAGTTCTCATAAATCTAGAGAGAAGAGGGGCAAATGAAGGGACAAAAAAAAAATGCTGGGTGACCCTTGGAGCTAAGGGGTGTCGAGGAGCAGGGTTAGGGTTTGCTCATGATAAAGTAGTGGTGGGACGCCTGGGTGGCTCAGTCGTTAGGCACCTGCCTTCGGCTCAGGCTGTGATCCCGGGGATCCTGGGATCGAGCCCCGTATTGGGCTCCCTTCAGGGAGCCTGCTTCTCCCTCTCTGTTGCTCCCCCTGCTTGTTCTCCCTCTCCCTCTCTCTCTCTCTCTCTCTCTCTCTCTCTCCAATAAATAAATAAAATCTTCAAAAAAAAAATAAAGTAGTGGTGGCTGAAAGCACAAAGAATATTTCTGTCTCCCTTCAAACGAGATAGGACTAAAGAGCTAAGGCCCAAGAATAGCCAGAAAAACACAAAGGATAGACAAATATGATTTTGAAACAGAACAGAATTAATTATTGGGGAATTAGAACCATCCTCATAATCAGTATGGATGATTCCCAGGGAAAACGTCAATGTTACTGGAATGATTTCAGTGGGCACCGCAGTCCAGTCAGACTGATGGGCTTTGGGATCCACACTACCTGGTTTTATTTTATTTTTTAAAGATTTTATTTGTTTGACAGACAGAAACCACAAGTAGGCAGAGAGGCAGGCAGAGAGAGGGGGGAAGCAGTCCGCCGCTGAGCAGAAAGCCCGATGCGGGGCTCGATCCCAGGATCCTGGGATCATGACCTGAGCCGAAGGCAGAGGCTTTAACCCACTGAGCCACCCAGGCACCCCCAGACTACCTGGTTTTAAAGACAGTTACTACGAACCTTCTGACCACGTGACCATAGGCAGGTTGCTTCATGTCTGCCATGTGGTAGTGATAACAATAATTAGTATCTATATCATGACAGAAACCAGACTAAGTGCTTTGTGTACATCACCTCATTTAATTCCTATTGCAGTATTATAAAGATGTTATTATCCCTGTTTTTTAAGACATTACTTATTTATTTGAGAGAGAGCGCACAGAGGGAGAGTGAAAAGGAGAAGCAGACTCCCCGCTGAGCAGAGCCCGATGCGAGGCTTGATCCAGAGACCCTGAGATCATGACCTGAGCCGAAGGCAGACACTTAACCAACTGAGCCGCCCACGTGCCCCTTATTATCTCTGTTTTTCAAATGAAGGAGCTAAGACTCAACTATGTGAAGCAGCTTATCTTTGAGACAGGAACAAGACTGGTGAAACCAGTGGACCTAGAACTCTACTTAATCTCCCCAGGCTTCACTCAAAACACACATCTGGGGTGCCTGGGTGGCTCAGTGGGTTAAGCTGCTGCCTTCGGCTCAGGTCATGATCCCAGGGTCCTGGGATCGAGTCCCGCATCGGGCTCTCTGCTCAGCAAGAAGCCTGCTTCTCTCTCTCTCTCTCTCTCTCTCTCTCTCTCTGCCTGCCTCTCCGTCTACTTGTGATCTCTCTCTGTCAAATAAATAAATAAAATCTTAAAAAAAAACAAACAACAAAAAAAACACACATTAGATTCCTACTGAGTATGTACATTTAAGAACAGCAAAGGAGGGCTGCCTGGGTGGCTCAATGGGTTAAGCCTCTGCCTTCAGCTCAGGTCATGATCTCAGCGTCCTGAGATCGGGTCCCACATCGGGCTCTCTGCTAGGCAGGGAGCCTGCTTCCTCCTCTCTCTCTCTCTGCCTGCCTCTCTGCCTGCTTGTGATCTCTCTCTGTCAAATAAATAAAATCTTAAAAAAAAAAAAAGAACAGCAAAGGAAAACAATTATTAGCTCTAACATTTCTGATTTTACTTATACATCTATTTTTAAGACTACCGACTTAAAACTTTTTAAGAATGTGAAATTTCAGTATATTGAAAATGTTGGCTGAGCCCCATCCCCTTGTGTGAAAAGCAGTATTTTTAGAAATCTAAATGCATTTCTGTTTACTACTGCCCTTATGGGAATAGAAATATAACTAGATATAAACCAAGTGAATCTACAAACGACTCTGCTCTACTGGGAGCATTAGCTAGGGTTATGTCCTGAGTACTTAATCTGGCATTGTTACCAAGTGCAAGACTATAATCTCCTTGTAGGCAGGGACCATCCACATTATCTGGGTATGTATCGTCCCTGATAAATACTAGAGCTCCCAAACTGGGCTATTTTTTAGACAGCTGGTTAACCAGTTCACCACTATTGTAGTAAACAGCAACCCTAATAAGATCACTTGCTTTTTAAAATAGGGATTTGTGGGACGCCTGGGTGGCTCAGTGGGTTAGAGCCTCTGCCTTCGGCTCAGGTCATGATCTCAGGGTGCTGGGATTGAGCCCCACATCGGGATCTCTGCTCAGCAGGAAGCCTGCTTCCCACCCACCCGCCCACCCCCCTACCCGCCTCTCTGCCTGCTTGTGATCTCTCTCTCCCTCTGTCAAATAAATAAATAAAACCTTTAAAAAAATAAAATAAAATAGGGATTTGTTAACTAATAAAATCCCAAACAATGAGCCACTGAACTGGAAAACTTTTTATAGCATCCTGGCAATTTCTGGATGAAAATGAGATCCTTTTTTCAGTATCCCTTAGTCACAGAAATGGGTTAAGCTGATCTTGGATAATAATACTGTTTATTTAGTGCATGCTATATTCTAGGTACTTCATACACATTTATCTCAACCAACCCTCACGGAAGCCCTATGAGATAGTATCTGCTAACTACAGATGGAGAAATAGTCCCACAGAAATTGGATGACTTGACCAAGGTCATCTGGCTAAAGGGCATAGGTGGTGTTTGAGTTCACCCAGTTTGGCTTCCAATGACTGCACACTTCACAGTGATCAGCTATGAGTAATCAATGTAGTGCTGCTACTGACAAAGGTAAAAGAATTGTTAAAGGTTTCCTTGAGAAATGTCCTGAGCAGTAGGTTTAAATATGCATATGTTGTTGATGACAGCGGCATTCTTCTCCACGGAAGCAAAACGGTTAACTGAGACAACCCTCTCCTGGCCTTCTAAATGTAAGATTTTCTATCATGCAAACTATGTTCATTAGTATCTAATGTATGGACTGAACTGTTGAACAAATCTTTGTTTCCTTAGGACTAAAAGCACTGGGGCCAACTTCTGCCTTTTCCATGATTAGAAAGGGCTTTCATCACCATCACCAGGGCTCTCCCCACTCCGGACCGCACCCTCTCCACACCTTCCAAGCAGTACTTTGCCCATGAGAAACCCACCACAGATCGTATCTAACTTACAACACCACAAATCAATTTATCTTCAGAAGGTTGTCATAACTGTCCTGACTCTATTTGCCAATTAGTGATGCTCTCCAGATTTCTGCAAGAGATGTGTCTATCTGTTTTCCTAGTCTGAACACAAAATGAATTTGCGAAGGCAAGGTTGTGACAACAGCCTCACTTCTCCCAGGCAACAGATTATGATGCTACACACCCAATTATTATATTACTGCAGGACCCGCTCAGCAGGAAAGAGATAGCACGAGCTGGAAGGCCAGCAAATGGCAGGATAATAAAATAACAGTAACAGCTAACACTTACTGAGTGCTCCCCGTGGGCCAGGCACCACTCTAAGCACACCACTGCATTAACTCTTTTTATCCCACCAAGTTCATTATTTCCGGTATACCTCACTGTCACTCCAGCAAAGTCATCTCTGCACAAGCAACAAAGAAAAATTTAACCAACCCAATGCTAGCATCGCAAACCATACTCTCCTGCGCTTGGGTTCCCTGACTCACTGCCTGTGCCTCCTGATATGCAGAGTTAATGGATTACATACAACAGCAGAATCTAGGATATAAATAGTTTGGATCTAAGCAGTATGTCTTATCGTTCGTCCTTCTAACTCCTAGAGTATACTGTGCTACTGAGAAAACAGGGAACCAAGGAGATGAAGTGAATTTACAGAGGTTATGATCGTTAGAAATCCTAGAATTATAGGATTATATTATAATATAGTATGATAGGATTATATTATACATATATAATATATATAGTATATATTATATATATATAGGATTATATTATATTATAGGATTATATGGAACTTAAACATATTAAACACAAGTAGTCAAATATTACAAGGGAACCTTTCTTAATATTAAAAAAAAAAAAGACTGAAAACAAAACAAACTGACAACTTATACCATGGCTCTCAGCATTGTGTATACCATGCCAAGATGAAGAAAATCAAGCAAGTACAACTTGATTTTAATCTCTGAGTTTTAAGATGGGGACTAAACATAAATCTCATTTATTCCAGAGCATTTCACTTATCATTTGTGGAAAAAAGTTACAAAGGCCAACATCTGAAATGATTCCCTTCTGCTAGTAACTAGGGTGAGGCATAGGGAAAGTAGTAAACCTCCAGAGAAACATTTAGTTGAACCTACACTTGGCCAAACTCAACCCCCATGTCTATGTGGGCATCGACCCTTTTGAAAGCCAATGCATGTCCCTGTGATTCCCACTTACCAAAATTCTTCTTCCTTGGAATCAGGTGAGAAGGTTTTAGAAAAATCAAACTGTCTAATGAAGAGTGAGGACCCTCTCCACTTCCCCTCTGGATCAGAGGTACTTGTAAACAAAATTTTCTCCTTTCATCATGCTGAGAAATCCTCTCCTCCTCTCCTCCTGTTCTCCTACCTTCATAACTTCCCCAGTGGTCTGAAAGTCTCCCTTGAAGAAATGGCAATAATTTAGACAGCAAAGTTTGTAGGTGCCCCGGAATCCAGGTAAAGGGACTCCGGGAGTAGCAATCTCCAAACTGGAAGCTCTCAAACTAAGTGAATTAGAATAACCCGGATATTCATTAAAATGCATCCCCTTTGCAGATTATAATTTAGAAGGTTTGCAGTAGGGCAAACCTTCATTTTAAACAAGCGTTCAGGTGATTCTGATGCAAGGTGCTGATTCGAAGTTCACCTCGAGGAACGTAGTTCTACAGGCACTAGAGGGACAAGCAACTGTTGAAAGGAGGGAAGCAGAGAAGCACAAGAGTATCCGGGACAAGATGGGGGCTGTAGGCACTGGGCCAAGAAAAGGCAAGCCAAGCTGGGGAGGCATGGAAAGAACCGTGGAACTGCTGGCATCTGCCGGTAGAGGACTGTTAAAGGTTAACTCTGCCCACCCAAAAAGTCTACTTAGGTTTGTATATCCAACTTACAAAAGCATAATACAGATATTAAAATCAATTCTTGATATGAAATATTCATACAGTGTAGAAGAAAGAAAAAGATAATATTGGAAGGAGTCGTTAGTAAAGGACACTGGACTCTAGAAAGTCTCTAAACACAAGAGCCTAAGTGATATTTTCATAATCACCAATATTTTCAAAGTTTCAGATTTAAGGCATTATTTTCAGCTTGGAGAAAATCCCCTCCTCATTTTTCCAAGTCATAAGGAAATAGGAAAATCCTCCCTAAGTCACTCTGTTTAAGTATCTTACCTTCTACGTTGCCGGATTCCTGATAAAATCAACAGCATGACTGCCACTATGACGATGCAAAATATCACACTGAATATAATGATCCAGATGGGCATGGATGGGTCAGTGGGTGGTGCAAGAGTGGAAGGAATTTTTAAAAATTCCAGGGTCTGGTCATTCAAAAAGAAGGCATTGTTGATCCGGTTCCTATTCATTCTACAATATAATGAGGATTAAAAACAAACAAGAGAGAAAAAAAGTTAGAAACAGAAGGTATAGTCCTATCTCTTCATGATTATAATTATCTGTAGAAACAGAGCACCCCTGTGGCAAGAGACCTCGGGTTGACTAGACAGTCTGACGGGGGGCAGTCATGCTGTGGTACTCTTTTCATAGCAGTGCTGGCTGCTATAGAAAGGCTCGCCTACTGCCCTCCATTGTTGGGAATGTCCTAGAAGTAACCTGAAGTCCTGAGCTTGAAGCTCTGCCCACCAGGTTTTATTTCCAGAAAGGCAGCCTCTAGACTAAGATGACACAACTCAATTTAAGGTGACTTACACAAATACCAACAGCAGGAAGAGGGAAAGTTGTGTGTAAAAAAGTGGGTGAAAAACTCAAGAAGAGGTGCGCCTGGGTGGCTCAGCGGGTTAAAGCCTCTGCCTTCAGCTCAGGTCATGATCCCGGGGTCCTGGGATCGAGTCCCGCATCGGGCTCTCTGCTCAGCGGGGAGCCTGCTTCCTCCTCTCTCTCTCTCTGCCTACCTCTCTGCCTACTTGTGATCTCTGTCTGTCAAATAAATAAATAAAAAATATTAAAAAAAAAAAAACTCAAGAAGAAAAGAATATCAGGAATAAAAAAGAACCATGAAACCAGGAGCAGCTGTAAATCCATCAGTTTGATTTTTTTTTCATTAATTCAACAAACACTTGCTGAAAACTTACCAAGTACCAGATATGGTGGTAAGTGCTGGAGATACAAAGTGAAATGAAAATACCAAGGTGCTTACAGTCTAGACCAGTCGAGAAGGATGGCACATCAGTCCCTCCACAATCACAGCGTGGTGCAAAATGTTCCATGAAAGACGTTAAGTATGGCCCGCGTGGGAGATGGTGGGGGGACCAAGTACCTCATATCAAGAAGTCAGGGCTGCTTTCCTGAGAAAGCAACATTGAGCTATGTTTTGAGGGATCCACAGGAATTCTTGAGGCCAGAGTATGTAGTAAGCACAGGAATGGAGACAATGATATAATAGTTTTGTTCAGGACTACAAGTTTCATATGAATAAAGTCATTGGTGCTTGAGAAGCCCAAAAATCCAGAAAAAATATCAAGGTAAATGAATTACTCTTCCTGGGCAAAATCTGCATTTTTGGTGGTGGCAGTGGTTAGGGAGGGGTTGAGAGCAAAGACTTATTTGGCTAAAACCAAATAAGTGAATTTCTAACTGGAATTTGCAAACTAGATGAGGAGATTTCTTGGGATATTCTCTGGCCTTTACTGAATTCACACTAGACAACTGACTTCATCTACCTCTGGAGCAGCAACGGAAAATACATATATGATGTGAGCTTCATGTGTGACTTCAAATACTCTATGAGGTGCATTTTAAGAGAACGTAAAAAGGAAGGGGTGAAATTATTTTAATTTTTTTAAGTAGGCTCCACACCCAACATGGGGCTTGAACTCGTATCCCCGAGATCAAGAGTCACATGGTCTACTGACCAAGCCAGCCAGGTACCCTGAAACTATTTTAATAATTTTTTTGCCCAACACATCCAGAAAAATATAATTTCAACCTGTCGTCAATCTTGAGTTGGCTCACATTGTATTTTGTACTCAATCTTTGAAATGTGATGTGTACTTTACACTTAGGGTGTATCTAATCTTGGACTACCTACATTTCAAGTGCTCAGCAGTCACATATGGGGAATGACTACCATCCTGGACAGTGTGGGTCTTGAACCTGACAGTAATGGCTGGACAATCTCTGCAGATCAGCACGAGGCTATCAGGAAAGACCTCCTTTACCAAATAAAAATCTATGTAGAGACATGATTACTCACAAATGTGAAAAAGAATCCCAGCCAGCTAATCTATAGCAGCAGATAATTCCAATGTAATTTTTTTTATCACAATACCCGCAAGTTCCATCCATGTCGTTGCAAATGGCAAGATTTCATTCTTTTTGATGGCTGAGTAATATTCCTGTGTGTGTGTGTGTGTGTGTGTGTGTGTGTGTGTGTGTGAGAGAGAGAGAGAGAGAGAGAGAGAGAGAGAGAGAGAGAGAGTCATCCGCTGATGAACGTCTGGGCTCTTCCCATATTTTGGGTATTGTCAAATTACTGAAAAGCTTCCTTTTTCCAGAACCTATCACTGATAATCTGGGAACACAAATGTCTCTACAAAATAACGAACCCCACTACTAAGGTATGACTCAGAGTAAAATGAGAAGTTGCTCTATATTCTCATTCTAGCTACCTGGTTAGTGAACACTTTGCTGTTCTTTTGCCTCTCGGACTGATTAGAAGTTATACATAACTCATGAATCACTGAACACTTCCTCAAAAATTAATGATGTACTATACAGTGGTTAACCGAACATAATAAAAAATAGTAAATAGCTAGATAGATACATAGATAGATAGAAAGAAAGAGACAGACGTTCTGGGGCGCCTGAGTGGCTCAGTTGGTTAAGCATCTGCCTTCAGCTCAGGTCATGATCCCAGGGTCCTGGGATCGAGCCCCACAGCGGGCTCTCTGCTCAGCAGGGAGTCTGCTTCTCCCTCTGTCCCTCACCTCTCTTTCTCTCTCAAACAAATAAATAAAATCCTTAAAAAAAATTACTCAGAAGTGATCGGTGTTGACATGAAATGCCACACACGTGCAGGAACACACTTCACGAAGCAGAGAGGGTTGTGCAAATATGAAGCAGAACTAGCATCATTGTGCCCACCTCCACCAGATTCTTCAGCCTTGAAATTCCTATTACCTGCCCTCTAGCTGCCATCCCCTCGCTTTTCATGCTATCCTTCTTTCTTGGTATTGTTCCCTTTATTTTCATACAATCTTGATGAGACCTACCCCTGACATAACTTCTCATTCTTTCAGCCTTCCCCACCCCCTAAGCAGCTTGTCCTGCAAGGACCTTTGAGGCATTCCGTCATGGACACACTCATCTGCACCCTCCACCTTCAGCCCCAACACTCACTCTTCCCCCTCACATTAATGGGAGCCTACTCTCACCGCAGTGCCTTCATTTCCTTGTAGTCCTCCTAGATCATGGAGAGGGCGTGAATAAAATACAGTGAAATACAGTGTTCCTAATTCTCATGCCCTAAGTGGTGGGTCTTAGCAGTATTTTTTAGTGGTGTAAGTACAGGAACAACGTATTTCAAACCTTCCTGTTAAAGCAGATTAAACTGTATCCCACTAGTATAGATCCTCAAGGCCTTTGCTTTGGCAAGGGAAATGGATGATTGTTCACACAAAAACCTTTGGCATTGATTACATACTCATTATCTTAAATTTTAATATTTTACAGACAGTAAATGAGTTCTGCTAGGTGTTTCTTCATGGTAAAGAGAATAATGTGTATTTCGGTAACTTGTAAGTCTGTTGTAAGGGGAGTTACTTTGTTTCCTTCTTTCTTTTTCCAGAAATAGTTTCTTTTCTGAACTTACTGTTCTAATATACCTTTGCCCAACAGTAGTTATTTTAGGGATGGAAAATTTACATACATAAAGTACACATTGATTAAAGTAAAAACAAACTGCATCCTTCTTTGAAGTCAAGAATACACTTCACTTTTTTGAAAGATCGTCATGATTACAAGGAGGGGTGGAGAAGAACTGGGGGAAAACTGTGTAAAATATGAAGTGGGTAAAAAATATTACTGAGTATCTGGTGAATACACCTTTCTGGACAATTTATACCTTCTATTTGTCTTTGAGTTATTTCGCAAATCTATAAGTGGTAGAAAACTGACATAACGTAAATGATTCTTGCCCAGAGAAAATCAAGTGAGCTGTGTTTGGTCGAATATGACTGATCACTACCTGATGGACAGAATGGTGCACCTTTTTGTAAATGGACATCACCATTCCTTGATTGCCAAAGATGCACCAGTCCTTGAAGTCTCCTTTGGGTTTTGTTTGTTTTTTAAAAATTTTATTTATTTGTCAGAGAGAACACAAGCTGGGTGAGCAGTAGTCAGAGGGAGAGGCAAGCACAGGGAGAAGCAGGCTCCCCACTGACCAAGGAGCCCGATGTAGGACTCGATCCCAGGACCCTGAGATCATGATCTGAGCCAAAGGCAGACGCTTAACAGACTGAGCCACTCAGGCATCCCTTGAAGTCTCCTTTGAACTGCTTTTACCATTTTACTAGTTCCTTCATTAATTAATGAGACAATAAAATCTTTAGTAGCATTTACTTTTAATTTGTATGACAGTCACGCTCTTACCTTGTTTTTAAAAATATATATATTTTAAAGGCAAAGACTATACATTAACTAAAGAAGCTAAGTCCTTAGAGACCCAAAAAATGAGACCATTTTTATTGTTTAAATAAAAGTCAAAGGTATGACTTGTCCTTTGAAATACCTTATATTTATTAACTCATTTAACCTTCTCAACAACTCTGAGGGAGAGGTACCATAACTATTCCTGTTTTATAGATTATAGGAGGAAAACAAAATGAGGGGAAGTAACTTGTCTATAATCCAGAGACAAAACCTACAAATTTGGGCTCCAGAATCCATGTGATAAACCATCACACAACAGCACCACACCAGGTTTTCTTGCCAAAAGAAGACAGCCCTAAACATTCATATAGCTAATATTTAACCCAGAGCTTCTCAGCCACAGCACAATTGGCATTTGGGGTTGAATAATTCTTTGTTCTGAAGGGCCATCCTGTGCATAGCAGGATGTTCAGCATCACCCCTAACTTCCGTCTACTCAATACCCCACGCCCCCCACCTCAATTGTGACAACAAAGATGTCTCCAGACATTGCCAAATGTCTCCTTGGAGGCAAAATTGTCCCTGGATAAAAAAACACTGATCCAAACTAATGCTTAATACAAGCTAACAAAATTAAATCTTTCACCTATGAATACATAAATCATTGTGAAGCACAGAGAGAATTCTTCAAAATTTATGAAAACTGTCAAATCAATCAACAAGTTGATATGCCAGGGGAAGACATATTTAGCGGTGATTACCTTATGGCTGACTGTATCTCAACAGCAGGAAGGGTGTGATTTTTTGAAGGATCTGTAACCACAAACCAGAATGACACCCGCTGGGTTACATTGCAAAGTAGGACATTGGAAATTCTGCAGATGATGGAGAAAAAAATACATTATAAGCAAATAATGACCGATTCCATTAGAACATCCACTCCGGCATAATTACCATCTTAAAAGGTGTGTTAGCTATGAAGTCATTTTTACTGTTTTAAGAAAAGCCTTATTAAGAAGAAAATAACACAGGAAATCTCCTCTGTTTCAAAATCAGATACTTAGGAATCACTCCTTAAAGGAGAATCTACCAAAATGAGAAAATAACCAAAGTACACAGTCAAAAGTGTTAAGGATCTCATTCTTCATCACCTGTTAGCTGACAAGCATCCCTGCTTCCCCAACACTGAGCCTCTTTCGAAACCACAGATGCCTCTGGTGTTGCCTCATCCAGCTGTTCTTAGTCCCATTCAGACTGACACATCTTAGATCCAGACAAATCAGTTGCCACTCCCTGGTCCCATATTGCTTCTGTGTTGGCCACACTGCCGTCCCTCTCCCACTCCAGTACTGGAGCAGACACACTAGGAGACCTCCAAGCTGAAGTGCTATCATCAATTTACCAGCAGTCTTTAAACACTGTTTCTGCAATTATTTGCTTTCCAACTGTCAATGGGAATGTGCCACACCACTCTGAGTACATACATTGCCAGGACATATAACATGAAAGAAATGACATTAGTGTTCAGATGGGAGACAATTATATATGAATGTATGAAAGATATAAAGGTTGAAAATTACAGGAGAGTCCACATAACTCAATGCTGCCAGGGCTAAA